TGGTGAGAATCTTTGTCTTCTTGACATTGAGCCTCAGTCCATACTGAAGGCTGCAGTCCTTGACCCTCTGCAGCAAGTGCATGAGGTCCTCCTCAGTTTTGGCAAGCAGGGTTGTGTCATCTGCATACCGCAGATTGTTAATAATAGATCTTCCACCAATCCTGATGCCACACTTCTCCTCATAGAGCCCAGCCTCTCGGATAATCTGCTCTGCATACAGGTTGAAAATATATCCTGAGAAAATTAGAAATGAGACACAAATGGAGATTTGTACATCAGTATTCATAGCAGTATTATTCACCATTATAAGAACATGGAAACAGCCCAAATGTCCAACCACAATTGAATGGGTTGAAAAGTTGGGGTACATTCACATGATGGAATACTGGTGCAAGCACTCGGGAGCAACAATTTTGAAAATTACTACATAACTTTGGGAGGGAATGGAGAACATTATGCTAAGTGAACTAACTCAGTCTCATAAGGACAAACACTGCATAAAATCATCATTGTAGAAATAGATAACTAGTAAAATGTGTATGAGGATCCAAGGGGGGGCGAGAGAGGGTAGCAGAGGGGTGAGGACGGATGGATGGGGGAAGCATAAGGTCGCACAATTTGGTGATTGGATGGAGTAGGTGAGTATAGGAAATGGGAAAGATTTGACAGGGATCTCGAAAGACTGTAATGGTTAAATGATTAATTTTATTAAACATGAGGGGATGATTGTATGAAAAAATGTGAATGAAGGAGAGTGAAATACCGTGTATATGAACTTTGTAAGCACACTAACAGAAAATATTTTTTTTAAAAAAAAAAAGACAGCCAGAAGAGACAAAGCAAAGTATTATAATTAAATGTGCAAAGTCCTAGAGTTAGGATGCCAAACGGAAAGAGCGTACAGTGCATTTCTCAGAGCAAAAGAATGAGGAAAAAATAAAACCTCAAGTTACAATACTGAAGATTGTATGTACAAAATCTGATGCGGGAAGCATCAAAAGAAGATGGAAGGAATTCACAAAGCCAGTGTACCAAAAAGAATTGTCCAAAACAGAACCAATTCAGGAGGTAGCATATAATCTAGAACCTATAGAATTATACTGAAAGCACTGGCAAAAATATAAGGCCCCAGGAATTAATGGGATACCAATTGAGGTGTTTTAGCAAACAAATGCAGCCCTGAATGTGCCCACGATTCCGTGCTAACAAATTGAGAAAATAGCTACTTGGCTAACCAACTAGAAGAAATCCTTAGTTGTACTTATTAAAAAAAAAAAAATGGGGATACAACAGAGTTTGGATATAATTGGCAATGTCATTAATAGCACATATAACCAAAATCTTGTTGAAAATTATTTTTAAGTGGCTGGAACAGTGCATTGACAGAGAACTTTAAGAAATTTAAGCTGGATTCAGAGATGTTGTGTAACAAGAAATATTATCGCGATGTAAGCTAGAGATCTTGACCAAAAGCAGAAGATACCAGAAAAAAGTGTTTATACTATGCGAAAGTATTTGACTATGTTGTTAACTACGATTAACATTGAAAAAGTGAGGACTCCAAAGTACTCAGTTGAGTTCATGAGGAACCAGTCCTTGGAAAAAGACATCATGCAGGGAAAAGCCTGAAAGAGAGGAAGACCATCAATGAGATGGCACAGTGACTACAGCAGCTGACTTGAGCATGGCAGAGATCATGAAGATGGTACAGGATAGGGCAAAATTTCAGTGTTGTTCATAGGGTGCTTATGAAATCTTGTCTGGATGGCATCTAATAATAGCTGTGCTGCCAAGATTTAACCCAATCAGTCTGGCTCCTCTTTATACTATCTGTGCTGCCACTCTGCTGTGTGGAAAAGAGACAGGATGTGTAAAGAGATGCATAGTTTATTGTCAAATGCCGTCAACTGCATATTCAAGTTTATTTCTCTGATATCACCAAGATGGATCGACACAGTGACTACAACAGGGCTCAAGTGCATCAGAGACGAGGTTCGCACAGGATAGAGCAGGGTTCAGAGCTGTTGTTCTAGGGTTACTATGAGTCATACTTGATGGTACAACAATATCCAATCACCTCTTCTGCACTACTACCATAATCATAAATAGCATGATTCTCACTATATAGAATAAAGGAAATAGACCAAAACGGTAGTCCTTGCCTTAGAGTGGTGGGACTAAGAATGTTTTCTTTTATGTTTTCTACTTTCATTTTTGTCTCCATATTCTTTGTGGGATTACACATAACTCATTAGAAAAATAGCTTTCATTAAAATGCATTGAACTAAAAGGAGAGATTTGATTGGGTACTGGTTGTAGGATAGGCACTCTGTGGGGAACTTTGTTGGTAAGTGCCATTAAGTCGACTGCAACTCATACTAACCTGTGGACAATAGATTTGAAGCTTGTCCTATCCTGCGCTGTCCTCACAGTGTCTGCTCACTGTGTTAGTCCATCTTGTTGAGGATCTTCCTCTCTTTCTGTAACACTCCCCCTTTCCCAGCCTCATGTCTTTTTTCCATGGACTGACCCTTCCTAACAATATGCCCAAAATATGTGGCACGAACTTCACCATCCTTTCCTCTAAGGAGCACCCTGGCTGTATGTTCTCCAAAACAGACTTATTCTTGTAGCAGTCTGTGGGATATCCACTACTCTTCTCCAGCACCACAATTCAGAGGCATTAATTACTCTTCTGTCATCCTTCATTGTCCAACTTTCAGAAGTATAGGAAGCAATTGAAAAGGCCATGGCTTGGATCGGGCATACATTAGTCTTTAAACTGATATTGTTGCTCTTTGGCACTTTAAAGGGGACTTTGACTACAGATTTTCCCAGTACACACATCTTTTCATTTTTTGACTGGTGTTACCTTGGATGTTGATTGTGAATCCAGGTAAAATGAAATTAAAAGAGCTTCAATATTTTCTCCATTATTATGCTGCCTGTGTGGTCCAGTACGATGGATTTTTGTTTTCTTAATGTGATTCATAGATATGCTCCATGTGTGAAGGAGACCTTACATAGGCAATATTTCTTTTTTTTTTTTATTCGTTTCAATGAACTTCTACAGAGATTTTGGAATTCCATTCATACATTGTTGCCCTTTTGTCCCCGCCCACCCCACCCCCATAGGTAATATTTCTAACTCTACTCAAATTCTTGGAAAGAAATCTTGTTTTAAAGCGTAGATGAGAGAACTAGGCTTCCAGAAGTTAAATTGCTGGCTTGGGCTTCTATAATTAATAAGTAGCTGAACCAAAATTAAAATCCAAGTCTGACTCAAAATTCTGTTGTCTTCTTAATAATTTTTCTATGTCGCTTTGATTTCTTGATGAGATGTTTTTCAATGCTTTTTGCTATTACACAGGGTCTAGACTAAAGCTAAGGTTGTGATAGCTTATCTTTAAATTTACATGTGTGGCGTATCTTGTGTGGATAAGGCCTTTGATGTCTTCATGCTCTAATTGATTTCAGAATTTGGTGATGCCGGCACTACTCTATCAGCAAATCCAGAAGATACCACGATAAATATTGAGGATCCTGACGAAACCCCAAAGCATCGGCCAAGAACCCCAAGAGGCTCAGGGAGAGAAGAGGATGATGAGTTACTGGGGAACGATGACTCAGACAAAACAGAGGTTCGACTTGGATATTTTTTGTCTGTTTTCCAAAATTTGTTCACACGGGTACACTAGTATTCCAGGTTTCCTGCCACATAATGACAACCCAGAGCTAAGTCTGACACAGATTTACCTCTAGATTGATGGGAGAAACAGACTAGCAAACACATCATGAGAACACATTGAAGTGCACTTCTGGAGGGAACATGATAACTGTGAGAGCAAAAACAGTGAAATCATAGAAGTCTTGTGAGAGGCAGTGACACTAAAATGCATCTATCTGAAAGAATAGGAGCTCACCAGGGAGAAAAGGTGGGGAAAGGTAATATTGGTAAAGGTTTTGGTAAAGTGACAGAGGCATGAAAGGTATGGTTTAGACAGGAGGCTAAGAATTCTAAAGCAATAAGAGCAAAGCATAGGTGAAGACAGATGGTGAATCCTGACAAATAGATGGGAACTCAACCCAAAGGAGTATGAATTGTTTTCTGAAAACTGAAAAGACTGAAAGATTGAAAAAGTTTAAGCAATATGGCTGGGTGTAGTGAAGACGTGGGCATGCAGAGTATGAAATGAAAGGAGAGGGACTCAGGAGTCAGCTGACGAAGTAGGAGACTGGTCAGGCTCTAATGATGAAGACTGAGCTAGAGTTGTGTACTACAGATCCATAAGACGTAGACTCAGCAAGAGTTGATGAGAAAGAAGTTGTCTAAGGTGACTTCTGGTTTCCAGCTGGAATAGAAGCCAGTTCTTAAATGTGTATCATTGCTATCTTCCAGAAAAGTATTTCTATTACTGCTTTATAAATCATGATGGCAGTGTCCTGGAGGAGCACTTAGGTGATAGAGTTGTATAAAATTGACAGGAACCTTCAGTGTCTGTTATTTTATCCTCCCCTCTGAGGTTTTAATGCTATCTTCGGTATGTCAGAAAGGTGAGAACTCGAATGCCTCCAGTTAATGAGCAGTTCATGCCATTATTGGAAATCTAGTTGTAAAATATTTTTCCTTTTAACAAACAAAAACTATCTACTTGTGCTTGTCCTGGAAGGTGACTCGATCTGTACCCTTTGTGGAACGAATCCTCCTCATTTCCCCATCCTTGCGTCATAAGGAGCACCCAGGCTGCACTTCTTTCAGAACAGGCTTGTTTGTGCTTTTGCCAGCACCACAGTTCCAAGGCATCAGTTATTTTTCTGTCATCCTTCATTGTCCAACTTTCAGAAGCATAGGAAGCAATTGAAAAGACCATGGCTTTGATCAGGCACATCTTAGTCTTTAAACTGACATTTGGAGAGGTCCTTGACAGCAGATTTTCCCCATGTAACACATCTTTTAATTTCTTTTTTTTTAAATGCTAGTTTATTTACAGAGTTCGAATACATTGTTTTTGAGAACAGATTCCTTGACAGTTGTTACTATAGATGCTGATTATGGATCCAAGTAAAATGAAATCATTGCCAACTTTACTTTTTTCTCCACCTATCCTGATGTTGCCTAGTAGTCCTGTGGTGAAGATGCTTGTTTTCTTGATGTTGAAAAGTAATCTGTACTGAAGACTGTAGTCTTTGATCTGCAGCAAGTACTGCAAGTGCTTTTCACTCTTTACAGATAAGGTTACGTCATCTACATAATGCAGTTTGTTGGTGAATCTTCAGTGCCAAAGCACTATTCTTCATATCATCCAGCTTTTTATTTACTCAGTATACAGATTTAATATGTGTACAGAAAGAAACAACTCTGAGTCACACCTTTCCTCATCTTGCCATGCAGTGTCATTCTGTCTTGACAGCTGCTTCGTGATCTATGTGCAGGTTTCAGATGCACAATTTAGTATTCAGGAATTCTCATTCTCCTCAGTGTTGCCCGTAATTTATTATCATCCACACAGTCAAAAGCCTTTGCATATTCAATACAACAGAAGTAACTGTCTTTCTGATACTCTGTCCTTTCAGCCAGGATCTATGTAACATCAGCTGCTGATATCCCTGATACCAGCACTCACATCCCTCATGCCACACCGCCTCTTCTGAATCCAGTTTGAATTTCTTACAGTTCCCTGTTAGTATACTGTGTCAGCCATTCAAAAATAATCTTTAGCAAGTTTGTACTGAAATGATATTTTTGAGTAATTTCTACATTCTGTTGGATAACATATTTTGTGAATGAGAACAGATATGGATTTCTTCCAGTCAGTTGACCACTTCCAAATTTCTTTTTAAAAATATTTTATTATTATTATTATTAGTGTGTGTGTGTGTGTGTGTGTGTGTACCATCAAATCAGATCTGACTGGTACAGGAGGATTGTCCCTCCTTCTCCAGCAGAGCATCTGGTGGATTTGAACCATGCGCCTTGGGATTGCAGTGCAGCTTCTTGCCACTAGGCCACCAGAGCTCCCTCACTTCCAAATTTCTTAACTTAGACTAGTGATCATGTCCAGTGCTGCATTTGTTGAAACATGTCAATTGGTATTCCATCAACTTCTAGTGTCTCACTTTTTGCCAATGTCTTCAATATAGTTTGAACCTTTTCCTTCATTGTCATTGGTTCTTAGTTATATGCTACTCTCTGAAATGGCTCAGTGGTGACAAGTTCATTTTGGTACAGTAACTGTACTCCTTCCATCTTTTGTTGCTTCCTGCATCACTCAAGATTTTGCTCGTAGAATCCTTCAGTATTACAGCTTAGGGCTTAAATTTTTTTTTTCCAGCTCTTTAAGCTTGAGAAATGCTGAACAAGTTCTTCTCTTTTGTTTTTCTAACTACAATTCTTTGCACATTTCATTATAATACTTTGCTTTGTCTTCTCCAGCTTGCCCTTTGAAATCTCCTGTTCATCTCTTTTACATTGCTTCCCTTTGTTTGGCCTCTTAACATTCTAGTGCAAATTTTAGGCCATCAGCCATCATCCATTTTGTTGTTTTCTTTCTCCTCTGACTTTGTAATCTCATTAATGTAATTCAAGATACATCTAGAGAGCTTGTCTGGAGGTTCTAGCAGGGGAGCTCAGCTACTCATGTACTCTTGAGCGAAGGGCGGTGTTGATTCTATCGGGAATGGTTGTCCTCTTCAACTGAGCGCACAGCTTCAGGAGGGATGCACATGGATCGGTGAGAGGAGAGGGGAACACCACCCAGCCGGCCAGATCAGCCAAATCAACCCTTGCAATCAGTGGGGTGACAGATGTCACAGCCGCATCGCCCTCACATCCAAGGTTAGATCTTGAAATGCCCTTTATAGCTATGAATGCAACACTATTCCTCTTCAGTTTATTATTCCTGACATAATAAATTATACAATTGTTTTATTCAGAATGACCATTACCAGTCTCTCTCAGCTCACTAATGCCTAAGATGTCAGTTAAAATTTTAAGTATCAGTCTTTGTTTCTACAACTTCCAGTTTTTCTAGATTCATACTCTGTACATGTTCCAGTTATGTGTTATGTTCTAATTTTTTTTGTGTCATAGCAGTAATATTTTAAGTTTTTAGTACTTTAGAGTAAACCAAACTATCAAATTTTTGAGAATTCAGGTGGTAACAGTGGTAAAGATCTTGAATAAAAATGGGAAATGACATTTACAGTGTTGTACATATAGAGCCAGTTTGACAACAGTGACTGTGATGTGTGTATGTATAATTGTTGTTGTTGTTTTAGGTGCCATCAACTCGAGTATGATTCATAGTGACCCTTTGAACAAAAGGTCTGAACCATGTTCTGTCCTGTACCACCCTCACACTTCCTGAGACCACAAAAGCCCATTTGTGGAAGTTACCATGGCAGTCCACCTGGCTGAGGATCTTCCTCTCCTTCACTGACCCTTAGCCCTTCCCAGCATCATGTCCTTCTCCAAGGAATAGCCCCTCCAAGGAACATGCCCAAAATATGTGAGGCAAAGCCTCATCATTCTTGCCTCAAAGAGCACTCTGGCTATACTGTCTCCAAGACATATCTGTTCGTTCTCTTGGCCGTCCATGGGATGTTCAGTGCTCTTCTCCAACACCATAGCTCAAAGGCATCAATTCTTTTGTCTCCTTATTCATTGTCCAGCTCCCAGATGCATAACAAGTGATTGGAAAAACTATGGCCTGAATCAGACCCACCTCATTCATGTACTTGTGTATTATGTAATCAATCATTCATTATTGATCAATGCCTTTTGTCACTCTGTCTCAATATATGTCCTTATACCTTAGCTATTCTTCACCCCCTCACCATCTGTCCATTAATCTCTGCTGTCCCAGTGGTTTTCTCCATTCTCCTTTTCCCTTTTATTTGTTGCCCCTCTTTTTGAACAGTTAAATAAAACCTGTACCTGTTTGCTAATTGCGGTAGCCATATTGTCCTTTTTCAATACTTCCCAGGTTGATGCTTCCTTGTCCTGATCCACTGTATAAACTACTTAATTTTAATGTCTTTAATAGACATTACATCTGTAATCCTGTAATACAGACCTTGTTAGTCCAAAGGTAGCTCTGGTGGCGTACTGAGTAGGGAGTTGTCTTGGTAATCCAAAGTTTCCACCACTTACTTCAAGGAAGAAAGCTGGACAGTCTCCTGTCTCCTCCTGATTAGTTTATAGCTTTGGAAATCCAGTGGCGGGTCAGCTATGAGGCAGTTCTGACTCAGTAGCAGTGAGAGTGTTAGGCCTTAGGTGATACGAACCATTAACTACTAGCAAAAAAGTTGGGTTCATATCCACTCAGAGGCACCTTGAAAGATAGGCTATGTGTCCAAAAGGTCATAACCTTGAAAACTCTATGGGGAAATTTTACTCTGTCTCACAGGATCATCATGAATTGAAATCAACTTGAAGATAACTGACAACAGTAAAGATAACTTAGAAAAATACACTGATTTGCCAAAGCTATTTAGTAAAAGACTTGCTAGGACTTCAAAATTGATGCTAGTTGATATCAAGTGTGTCTGTTGCAGAAATGGTTTATGATTAAGGAGTCTGATCTTTTCCATATCTTAATTTTTCATTAAATAGATTGCTCTTGTGCGTATTCTCTTTCTCTCTCTCTCGCTCTCACTCTTGCTCTGTCGCTCTATCTCTCTGTCTCTGTTGCTGTGTCTATGCGTAGCTGGAATTAGCAAATTGCTTCTATGTTCATTATGTTTACTTTGTTTTGAACAGTTACTCGCTGGACAGAAGAAAAGCTCCCCCTTCTGGACATTTGAATATTATCAGACATTTTTTGATGTGGATACTTACCAGGTTTGTAAACTAGTTTCACCTTCCCTTTTACATGTGTTGGAGACTTGTTTCTTCCATTGATTAAACAACCAAATAATATAAAAGCCCCTCTATCTTAGGAATGATTTTACAAAAGTAAAGAGCTGTTATTGTTATTGCATACCATCATGTTAGAACCTACCCATAGTTAACCCTCCAGTAGTTTTTCAGAGGCAATAAATTATATGAGATGAGATTGCCCTTATTTTTCCTCATAGAGTAGCTGGTAGATTTGAACTGTGTTCCTTTGTGCTGGCAGTGCAGGTCCTCACCACTAAGCCACGAGTGCTCCCTAAAGAGCTATTACTATTTGAAAAAATGCTGTATTCATACAAAGTAAAAATAATGACATTTTATCTCACATACTTTGGGCATTGTTGTTAGGAGAAGCTATTTCTTAGAAAAGGACATCGTACTTGGAAAGATAGAGGATCCTAAACCAAGTGGACTGACACAGTGACTTCAGCAGTAGGCTTGAGTGTGTCAGATTGTGAGGATGGCACATGTTAGGACAGGGTTCAGATCTGTTGTTCATAGGTCACTAGGAGTTGTACTCAGCTCAGCAGCACCTAACATCAAGAACAACAGCATACAAGCTCTAATACTTGTCAGTTTTTTAATAATTGAATTTATTAAACTTAGGAAAATCTTCAGTAGGCTTACTGCTATGTTGTTTTCTAGGTCTTTGACAGAATAAAAGGGTCTCTTTTGCCAATACCTGGAAAAAATTTTGTAAGATTGTATATCCGCAGCAATCCCGATCTCTACGGTATGTATGTTGCCATTTTGACTCATTCCCGTATGCTGGTTGAACTCGGGTAAGCGTATGGGCTGCTGAAAAGGTGGAGAAATGTACTATGTATGAGACATGCAAAGTTGATTCTTCTGAGCTTTGGTAATGTTGTTGTGTGTTGCTGAGTCACTTGCGACTCATAGCGACCCTATGTTCAATAGCACTGAACTTTACTCTATCCTGAGCCAGTCTCACTGTCTCCGATAAGCCTACTCCATTACCCAAGTTACTGAGTCAATCCATCTCATCCAGGGTGTTCCTCTCCGACATTGTTCCTCCACCCTTGTAAGCCTGATGTCCTTCTCTTAAGGACTGATCCCTCCTAACCACATGCCCCAGATATTGGAGACAGAGCTTCAAAATCCTAGTCTCAAAGGAGTAGTCTGGTTTCACTGACTCAGAATAAGTCTATTTGTTCTCTTGGTAGTCCATGATATATTCAGTATTCTTCTCCAGCACCACAACTCCCAAGGCATCAATTCTCCTTCTGTCATTCCTCATCATTGTCCAGCTTTCTGATGCATAGCAAGAAATTGAGAAGACCATGGCTTGGATCAGGTGCACCTTAGTTTCCAGACTGACATCGTTGCTCTTCAGTTTTCTGGAGAGGTCCCTGACCTTAGGTTTCCCCACAGCAATTTGTCTTTTGATTTCCTGGCTTTTGGTGCCAAGAGTGTTGATTGTGGAGCCGAGCAAGCTGACGTTGTTAGCAACCTCAGTCTCTTCTTATGTATCATGATGCTGCCAGTTGGCCCAGTGGTGAGAATCTTTGTCTTCTTGATGGAAAGATTCAGTCCATATTGAAGACTATAGTCCTTGACCTTCTGTAGCAAATGCTTCAGGTCCTCTCAGTTTCGACAAGCAAGGTTGTGTCATCTGCGTAACATAGGTTGTTGATGAGTCTTCCTCTAATCTTGATTCCACATTCCTCCTCATAAAGTCCAGCCTTCCAAATGATCTTTTCCACATATAGATTGAAAAGGTTTGGAGACAGGACACATCCCTGATGCACTCCTTTCCTGCTTTTGCAGTGTTTTCTTGCTCTGTTTTGACAACTTATTCTTGTCCAGGTCTAGGTTTCACATTAGCACAATCAAGTGTTCTGAGATTCCCATTCTTCCCAGTGTCAGCCACAGTTTGTTGTGATCCACACAGTCAAATGCCTTTGCATAGTCAATGAAAAAACACATATAGACTTTCCTCTGGTAATCTCTGCTTTTACCTAAGATCCATCTAGCATTGGCATTAATGCCAATGGCATCTGATGCCATGGCCTCCTCTAAACTCATCCTGTTTTTCTAGTAGTTCTCTGATGATGTACTATTCCCATTGATTTTGGATAATTTTCAGCAGAATTTGTTCAATAATTTCCACATTCTATCAGGTCACCCTTATTTGGAATGGTAACAAATATGGATCTCTTTTAGTCAGTTGGCCAGGTAGTTGGCCTCCAGATTTCCTGGTACAACATGGTGAGCACATCCAGGGTAGCTCCTGCCTGTTGAATTATGTTAGTTGGTATTTCATCAATTCCTCGGGCCTTGTTTTAAACCAGTTCCTTCAGAACAGCTTGAACTTCCTCCTTCATCACCATAGGCCCTTGATCATATGTTGTTTCATGAAATTCTAACTTGTCAGCCAATTCTTATTGGTACATCAACTCTGTGTACACCTTTCATCTTCTTTTAATGCTTCCTGGAACATTCAGTATCTTGCCCATAACATCCTTAAATATTGCAACTCAAAGCTTGAATTTGTTCTTCTTTCAGCTTAAGAAATGCCAGCTGAGTCCATCTCTTTTGGTTTTCTGACTCCAGTTCTTTGCACATTTCATTATAATACTTTGTTTTGTCTTCGCAAGCTACCTTTTGGAATCTTTTGTTTAACTTCTTAACTTACTGATTTCTTCCCTTTGCTTTGACTTCTTGACAGTCTAGTGCAATATTCAGAGTCTGTACTGACATCCATCTTAGTCTTTTTTCCTTCCTGTTTTTGCAATGACCTTTTACTATAAACCTTGTAAAAAGGTTAGACACAAAAATGCAACTATGTATTATATTAATGCCATAATTAAAAGTAATAATTTCTGCTTTGAAAATATTCGAAGACATTACACAATTGAGATAAATTAAGTCACTTTGAGTAGAGTTTTGATTTGTGGCAGATTTGATGGCAAGGGGTGAGAGATTGTATTGAGTTCTGGCTCTGCTTTTGGAACGTCTGTATTCCCTGTGATAGGGAGTAAAGAGAACTTGGATGTGTAACTAACAGAAAAATTACAACAGTTTAAAGATGCTTATCCTGTTTGACTCAGCTGTTCTATTCCTAGACATGTATTCCTAGAAATTCTCATATGTATAAAATAACTTATAGAAAAATATTATTCAATGCAGCATTGTCTGTAATTGCAAATATTTGGAAAGGGCAGAAATGTTCATTTTCAGAGAATGGATAAATCATGGTATATTCATACATGAAACAGTTGGTTTGTGGTTTTTTTTTTTAAATGGGTGAAATGTATAAAAATCAACATGGATGAGTTTTAGTGGGGGGAAAAAAGCAAGCACCAGAAGGCTCCAAATAACATGACATCATTAAAAAGATTTGAAGAAGTGATATCATGAGTCTACCAGTGGGGCTTGGGGTTCCCCCAATTCTTTGTGGGTTTTTTAATTTAAAAAAAATGCTGTAAAATCTGCATTATAAATATAAAACTGTACTAAAGCTCCCTCCCACCCATACTATTTGTTGTTCTTGTGTCCTTGTCGAGTCAGAACTAATCTATAGCTGACCCTGCAGTGTGGGTTTTCAGAGGCAGTAAATCATGTGAGAGGAGATTGTCTGTCTTTCTCCCATGGAGCAGCTGGTGGATTTAAACCACGTGCCTTTGGGATTGCAGCAAAGCTTTTTACCCCCGGCCCTCTAGAGCTTCCACACTGTAGAAGAATAAGAATTTGGAATAAAGGAGACAGGATTTGCCTTCAGTTGGAATCTAAATGAAACAACATGAGACAAATTGGTTGTTGTGTCTCTGGACCCTGAGCCTCTTCTGGGAGTGGGTAGAAAGATTGCAGAGCTTCCAGATCATGGTAGATCTTTTATATCAGCCTAGGGAATTTTGATTGTGCTCTTAAGCACTGGAAAATTATTGGAAGGGTTACACATAGGCCAGAAAAATGATAAAGATACAAAAATACTAAGGGTTTGAAAAGGGTTTTTGTTGTTGTTGTTGGAAATAATGGCCAACCCAGGGATGAGTTATTGATACTGGGCTAGACAAAATTGGTGGGTGGACAGATGTTAATGACTTTGCAGGCTTACTTGCTAAAAGAGAATCTGACCTAAGTACTTATTGGAGAAGAGCAAAGACTACAGCCTTCAGTATGGCTTACACATCAGTGTAAAGAAAACAGAAATCCTCACAATTTCACCATTAAGCAACAGCATGATAAATGGAGAAAAAACATTCAAGTTATCAGTGATCTCATTTCACTTTCATGATGTGATTTGCTACCATCAGCCAATCATTTGTAAGGGTATTTCCTCAGAGATATGACCTGTGTCTGATAGGCTCACACTTGTTCTGAATCCTGTTTCCGACTTGTCAGCCTCCAGCGTTCAGTTGGTGGAACATAAGCTAGCTGACTGCTGCTACTCAACCTGCAGATTGTGGGATTTGCCATTTTACACAGTCACATGAGTCAGCAATTTTCTATCTGATCTGCTGATTTTGAGTTTGTCAGACCCTCAGCCATATGAATCAGAAGCCCCCAGCCTGACACTTGACCCTTGGATAGGGGCTTGCCAGCCCTCACAACTATGTGGGGCATAGCCTTGAATTGAATCACTCTTTAAATATTTAATCGTGCTAATGCGAAACCTATACTTGGACCAAGAGGCAGTCGTCAGAACAGAGCAGGGCAACACTGCATGGTTCAAAATTGGGAAGAGTGTATGCCAGGGATGTGTCCTGTCTCCATACCTTTTCAACCTGTATGCAGAGCAGAATATCCAGGAGGCTGGGCTCTATGAGGAGAAGCGAGACGTTAGGATTGGTGGACGATCTATCAGCAATCTGTGTTATGCAGATGACACAACCCTGCTCGCTGAAACTGAGGAGGACCTCATGCACTTACTGCAGAGGGTCAAGGACTGCAGCCTTCAATATGGACTGAGGCTCAGTGTCAAGAAGACAAAAATTCTCACCACTGGACCAAACAGTAGCATCAGGATGGATGGCGAAGAGATTGAGATTGTTCACCGCTTCAGTTTGCTCGGCTCCACAGTCAACACTCTTGGCACCAGTAGCCAGGAAATCAAAAAACGTATTGCAATGGGAAAGTCTGCTGTTAGGAACCTCTCTAAAGTATTCAAGAGCAATGGTGTCTCTCTGGAGACTAAGGTGCGCCTGATACAGGCCATGGTTTTTGCAATCACTTATTATGCATCAGAGAGTTGGACAATGACTAGGGAGGACAGAAGGAGAGTTGATGCCTTTGAGCTGTGGTGCTGGAGAAGAGTATTGAATGTACCATGGACTGCCAAGAAAACAAACAGATTCATCCTAGAGAGGGTTAAACCAGGCTGCTCCTTGGAGGCAAGGATTCTGGGGCTTCGCCTGACATACTTTGGACATGTTGTAATGAGAGACAGGTCTTTAGAGAGGGACATCATGCTGGATAGAGTGGAGGGACAGCGCAGGAGGGGAAGACCCTCTATGAGGTGGACTGATTCAGTGACTGGGGTAATCGGGATGGGTGTGTCAGAGGCAATGAGATTGGCACAGGATAGAGCAGGGTTTAGGGCTGTTGTACATAGGGTCGCTATGAGTCGTAAACGACTTGACGGCACATAACAACAACAACATGTTTCACTAATTTTGCTCCTTTGGTGAACCTAGCCTACTGTGATTCTAGAGGAATAAAATTATAAGGATAAATTTTTTGAACGGGCTCTCAAAATCCAGCTAGTCTTAA